TGGCACAATCTCAGCTCACTGCAACCTCCACCTCCAGGGTTCGAGGGATTCTCCTGTGTCAGCCTCCCGAGTAGCTGGGATTCCAGGTGCCTGCCACCAAGCCCAGCTAATATTTTCTATTTTTAGTAGAGACGGGGTTTCACCGTGTTGGCCAGGCTAGTCTCAAACTCCTGACCTCAGTTGATCCACCCGCCTCGGCCTCCCAATGTGCTGGGATTACAGGCATGAGCCACCACGCTAGGCTGACAGGTTCGTTTTTAAGTCAAGTAGAGAAGGCACCATGGTGCGGCGGGCAGTCCTTGACCTGGGATCAGCAATCTTGTCTCTGTCCTGGCTCTTCCACTGCCCAGGTGCAGCCCCTGAGATAAGCCTCTTGGCTCCAAAGGAACAGGACAAGGTGGCCCCTAAGAGCTTCCCATGACCCCTGCTCTTGTGATAAATCTTCCACTTTCAGCACCCAATCTCTCTCCTCCTGAAAAAACAGAAATTGTTTATGAAAAAACAATTTGAGAATGCAGCAGAAAGAATAGGAGAGAAGCCTGATGGAAAAATAGAAAAGAATGCCACCAAATCTCCAGGCAGACTCCAGACCATCCTCAGAACCAAGATGCTCCCTGTCCCTCCACAACTGGATGAAAAAAGGCGAATGGAGTTAAGATCCTTCCTCCCTTTCGCTCTGCAAACTACCCCTTGGCCTTGGTCTCTGGCCTCTTTTTAATTCCCTGCTGAAGACAGTGAATGTATTCTGAGTTCAGAGAGCTCTGCCCCTTGGTGAGGCACATCGGCACATCTCTCAGCCACTTACCCCTCCTCCAGCCTGTCCCCAAACCCTTTGGCCTATTTGAACAGCAGCAGCAACAGCAGTAGAGATGAAAGGGTGTGCATGTGAACAGGGTAAAAGGTCCCCACTTCCCAGCTGAGGTTAACATCTGGAGAGACTTAGATTTCAGAGGATTCAGACTGAGTCATCGACATGTGTAAGGACCATCAGCAACTTTTCCATGTTCCCTGTTAGTAAGCCCCAAGTTTCAGCCTGCTAGGAAAATCCAGCCCTATGAAGGCATCCACTGGACTCCCCGGAAAAATTAATGGAGTGAGCTTGAATTGGAGAGGTGAAATGGACTCTAACTAGAGATCTGATTTCCAAAGCAGTGACACCCTAAGCCTACCCTTCCTAGCCTAGGAAAGGACCCAGAGAGACCACTGGCCTCCAAGCCCTTTCCTGCACTGCAGCCCCGGTTACTCTTCTAGGAGATACAGACACCATCCTGTCCATCCACCTGTCTCCAGGCAAGAAGATCTCACTCAGCTCTAAGAAAGAAGAGGCTGGTAGCATCTCTTCTCAAAAGCCCAGGAATTTAGTTCTCTCTCTTTCTGTGCCAACAATGATCAACATATTTTCATTTCTTTTCTTCAAGGGAGAAAAAATTGAGTCCTACCAGGAAAGCTAAGGTAAAAGGAAACAGGTTTATGGGGCTGTCCCTGTTAGTCCTTTGCTGGGTTATTTGAAGTCACTCATAAGTCCTCTCTGTGCAAAGATAGCAGAAAAAAAAATGGTGAGACAGTCAGCAGACTGAATTACCAGGTGGTTCTCAAGGAAGGACCTCATTCTGGGCCTGCTAAGGGTTAGAAGTAGCTCACTGGACTCTATCTAAATTGCTGCTGGCTTGAGCAACACTGGGGCAGAAATGGAAAGAGAAACAGAGACAGGCAGCAGTGGCCAGTGCTCAGCCCTGCTCCGTCCTCACTCCAGCAGGTCTGACACAGGAGCCAACCCAAACACCCCCCACACCCCACCCTTGAGTGGCCTGTGAATCGCCTTCCCTGTCCCCCATGGGGTTTTCTACTGCTCAAGTTTCTCAACATGAGTGTCTGGAACCAGAACTGTTCCTCAACTCCAGGCAAAGGGGATTTTTTGTTTGTTTCTTCATCAGTTCCCAAGTCTGGCTGCCTTCTTCCCTGTGATCTCAGCTTCTCCTTGGCAGAGAAGGTCTTTTGGGGGTGGGAAGGATTGGGGAGAGAAAGAGTATCCAGCCTTCAGGACCATCCAGAAAAAAAATGCCTTTCAAACCAGAGGCCGGTTCTTCTGTAAACATTTTAGCCAATGGTGTCAGGCATGAGAGGTCAGCACAGAGCACCAGAGGACCCATTGTGAGGACAATGTTTTGTCTCTTACCTGCCTAGAAATGCCCCTGCTTTTGCAAAGTCACTGTGATTGTATTGAACTGTCGGTCCCCATAATATACCAAAGCAGCTAGACTGAATAGACATTTACTGACCACTAGTGGGGGCCATGCTAGTACTTGTGGGAAAATGCAGTAGAAGTAAAAGATACAGTCCCTAATGACAAGGAGGCTACCACCAAAGTCAGGTCATCTCAGAGATCACCTAGCCCAACCTGCTTATTTATAGAATAAGGGAGCTAACGTCCAGAGAAGTCCAGTCAGGACCAGAACCAAGACATACCAAGCCCAGTCTAACACACGTGGCATGGCAATGTAGGCATAAAACAAGATTTTGCACAATTAGGGTTGGTTGTCTAGACTTTAAAGTCAATGTTATATGAAGAATAAACTTTGAAGAAGTTTCAAAGGACAGTGAAACTTTGATAAGTTGGAAAGTCTTCCTTCGTGACGTGGGGCAAAACGGGAAGGAACAGCATAGTTGGAAAAATAAAAGACAGGCTTCTTATTCATTGACTGAATGTATTTCACAAACACTTACTGAGCTTCTATTCTGTGGCAGGACTGTTTAACTCTCATGGAACAGTCAGTGGCAAGCGCCTTTTCTCAATTCCTGCCTTCACAGGTGTCTCTGCTTTCATGGAGTGTGTTTGTAGGAGGAACAACTGGCCTAGAGTGGACAGAGAAGATCTGGAGTACCAACAGGCAAGCCAGCAGTCTGTTCTGTAGAAATCCTTCTTCACTGAATAAAAGTCACTAAAGTCACCAACAGAAAGTCTCCAGAGAGACTTTCCTGGAAGCAGGAAAATGGAAAGTGTCACATATGGTAACTATTCAAAGAATCTGGGCTTCAAAATACAATTTGCCATCTATAGATATCAGAGAAACAGGGAGTGGGGCTTGAACTACATTCTCTCTTCTATTCAATCAACTTTTGCTGAGGACCTCCTGCAGGCAAGATGCTCAGTTCTTGAATGAGGATAATGGCAGTGGAGAGAGAAGGAGGGACAAATGGAAGAAATAGCAAACATGTTCTACAGAAATCCATTTGAGACCGGGCACAGTGGCTCATGCCTGTAATCCCAGCACTTTGGGAGGCCGAGGTGAGCCAATTATCTGAGGTCAGTAGTTCAAGACCAGCCTGGCCAACATGGTGAAACCCTCTCTCTACTAAAAATACAAAAATTAACCGGGTGTGGTGTCACACGCCTGTAATTCCAGCTACTCGGGAGGCTGAGGCAAGAGAATTGCTGGAACCCAGGAGGCGGATATTGCAGTGAGCCAAGATTGAGCCACTTCACTCCAGCCTGGGCAACTCAGTCTCAAAAAAAAGAAAGAAAGAAAGAAAGAAAGAAAGAAAGAAAGAAAGAAAGAAAGAAAGAAAAGAAAGAAATCTGTTCAAAACCATTTACTATGAGGTATAATGAGGTATAATGGAGAATAAATAAAAGGCTGGATGACTTATACACCCAATAACCATTCAATATATCTATTTGTAAATGTCAAAGTACTTTGAGCCCAGTATGTCTTATACAAAGTGCATCATCATCATCATCAGTCTCCCCATGCCTGGCCTTTATCCCCGTGAATGGACCGGCATCCAGGTAACTGCTTTATACAGAAACAAAAGCCACATCCTTGACAACACCTGCTTTCACCTCCCATATTCAATCCAACACCAAGCCTCCGTCTCTTGTCCACTTAATAGCTTAATCAACACCCTTCTTGGACAGGTCTGAGCCATCATCATCATTTCTCTCTACTGAACCCTCGATTTTGACAGGGGCATCTCCCTTTACACAGCTCCTCCAGTCAATACATCACCCACTTGGTGCCATCTAATCTCACATGCCATCCTCTTAACATTTTTAAAGGCTTCCCAAATACTTGATCATGGTTTGATCTCTGCCTCTCTCTCCAGCCTCATCCTGTACCATGTAAGGAGTTTCTCTCTGCCCTTCTCCAGCCAAAATGTCTTTCCAAGTACTTATTCACTGATTTATGTATATATCTGAAGAATGGCTTTCTCCCCAGTGGGCTGGGAGTTCCATGAGCACAGCATCTACATGTTTTTATCTTCCACTAATTTTCTACCACCTAAATATAAGGCACATGCTATGTAATCAATATCTGTGACTGAATTTTTTTAAATAATTAGGTTAATTGTTCTCAAGAAGAGTCATTTTGCCCCTCACTTCCCCAGCCTCCCAAAAAAACAGGTGGCAATGTTTGGAAATATTTTGGGTTGTCATAGCTGCCAGGCTTCATCGGTGTCCAGTAGGTAGAGGCTAGGGATGTTGCCAAACTTCCTAGGATGCCCAAGACAGCCCACCAAAAGTTACCCTGCCCATTGTGTCAACAGTGCCAAGACTGAGAAATCCTTAGATGAGAAAGAAGGAATATTTCTATTTTGATCATACTGAATTGGGTTCTCTAGAGTCAAGCCCTTACAGAAATACATGTGTCATCTCCAGATGCTGTGAGAAACTTAAATAGTCAGCATATACACACAGTCAATGACTGTTACATTTCCCAGAGCCAGGAGAAGCATGTTTGAATGGTCTCTTTTACTCCTCCAATGCCTGGCATGGGGCTGGGGTTCAGTTGCTCGATAACACCTCTCTGGAAAGCCTCACTTAACACATAAAGGACCTCAAAACTGAGGGCAGCTCTTGACCTTTATTTCACATATACGACCAAAGGGCAGCAAAGGTGAGTGACAGCACAAACAGAGCCCCTCCCACCTGCTGAGCCACACCCCTTCCCTGTCACAATGGCCAAGGCCTTAAATACCCAGACTTCTGGCCCACGGGCCTTGCAAAGCCCCTCATTTTGGCAGAACTTACCATGTCGACCAGCCGCAAATTAAAGAGTCATGGCATGAGGAGGAGCAAGAGCCGATCTCCTCACAAGGGAGTCAAGAGAGGTGGCAGCAAAAGAAAATACCGGAGGGGCAGCCTGAAAAGTAGGAAACGGGGCGATGATGGTGAGTGAGGGAAGGGCAGGAGACGGTCAGACTTAGGCACGCATTGCTGCCAGGCCCTCCCTCCTGGAGGCAGCCCTCACAGGACCCTGAAATCTCCACCCGAGATTCTTTCCAATAACTAAATGCAGATGTGGGCATTAAGAGTATTGATGGGAATGTTCTAATTTGTGTCCCTGTTGCAAACCTGTCCTTCCCCACAGCCAATCGCAATTATCGTTCCCACCTGTGAGCCCCCAGCGGGCTCTGCCCTGGTGCACTTCACACAGCACCAGGCAGCAACAAGAACAGCAGAAGGGGGACTGCCAAGGAGACCTGACGTTAGATCAAAGCCAGAGGGCAGCCTATGGAATGTGGATCAAATGCCAGTTGTGACAAAATGAGGAATGTATATGTTGGCTGTTTCTCCCCAACATCTTAATAAAATTTTGAAAGCAGAAATGTTTCCTTTGATCTTTTGGTTGGAAAGACTTGGAATCCTGAGCTAGGTGGGTTTGGGGAAGAATTGGCCAGTATGCAACCATTAAATGTGACTTGGAAAAAATCAAAAGTAATTTGTCTTCCAATTCCCTCCAATGGTGGTCCTACTCTGGCCACACACCATGGCCATATTTGTCTTCATCCCAATGTGCTGTCTCCCTCCCCAACATGGAAAGGGAGAAGACATAAATAGCATAAACCAAAGGGAGAAATACATTCATTAGCATAAACCAAAGGATGAAGTATAAACCAAAGGATGAAAGCTGTTTTTGTCAGAGCTTATAGATTTATAGAGTTGTTGAGCTAAAGACTTGTCCCGGAGATGAAGACCACTTGGAGGATCTCTTAATTTATTAATCATATGGGCAGGATAAGGAATGGGCAGGATAATGGATGGGAACACCTGGACAGAGGCCAACATGGCTATTGTAAGGGATCCTATTAGTCACAGTGGAGATGAGGGTTTAGGTTTCTTTAGGTTATTTTGTAGCTATGTTGGGCTTGAGGTGGGAAAGACTAAAGACTGGGATATCAGTCATGGTAGCATGACTGTCATAAACCTGGAAGTAGGAATTGTCCCAATCTGAGTATCTCATTGACCATTTGACAGAGAACTGTCTTTTTAGGGACTGTAGAGCTGGTTCTGCTCATTTAAGAAATTCCTAAGCCCTAACTTTACCTTGTCCTTGACTTGTAACATGATTTATGATGTCTGTGGTCAAGGATATGACACCACCTCTCCACATTCACCCAAAGTGTTTTCTGTTGTCTCAGAGGTAACTCCAGAGTGGAATTGAGACTCATATTTAAACTCAAGAACCACCCACATGGTTTCTGGGGAAGTAACCAGGAAAGGGTATAAGCAGGAAGGAATGAGGGGGCATGAGGTTAGACACGAAGTTTCCAGCTAGAGTGAGGCACAGGACCAGGAGCAGAGGAAAGAGTCTGAGCCTCATGCAAATATGTGGGTACCAGGATATTGGGATGAAGAGACTATTAAGGGGTGGCAAGGGGTGTTCCCAACAAGTCAGGTAAAAATTTTCAAGTCCTCACTCTTCCATAATCCTAAGAATGCACAGACTGGCACAGACTGATTCAGAGCATCTCTCCTTATCATCAGGCACACAAAGAGCTTGTGTTTCCCATTGTCAATTTCCCTTTTTTGTCAAATAGGGATAGGGAAAATGCTTCATACCCTCATCCTCCAGGGTTATGTCTATTTTACCTCCTAAATGTGACATCTGTTTATCTCTGCTTCTCTAACCAAACTCAGACTAGTCTCAAATAATCCTATGTGTGTCAGTAGTGTCACTGAATGAAGTTTCTTAGAAGTTTGCACACGTTTCTGATCCAGAATCCCTCCAGAACTCATCAGCCATGGCTCTCACCCTGAAGAGGGTGAAGATCCAGAACATCAGCCATGGCTGATGAGGGATTCTGGATCTTCAGGGTGATCCAAAGAACTCATCATCCATGGCTCTCACCCTGCTCTCATGCCCCAGGGCATTCCTCTGCTTCTGTATAAAATATGAGTGCTCCTTACAACACATGAAATCCATAAAATAAATCCAAAAAATAACGTTTAATTATTGTGCTTTCACAGCTCTTGCTAAAGTTAGCCTCACAGATTGGGTTCGGAGCAGAGATCGAGATGGAGTTTGAATGCAGCATGTTTATTAGAGGTCAGTCCTTGAAGACGGAGGCTGCAGGGCTGTACGGAGGAAGGAGCTGAACACACCATCAGGCAGTGTAGCCAGTTAGAGTATCTAACATGGGGCCAAAATGGCCAGACCTTTATACCCCACCAAGAAATGGTGCCAAAATGGCCAGGGCTTTATACCCCACCAAGAAATGGCATTTCTTACTGCTGAGGCAGATGCAGAAGGGAGCATCAGCTGGAGATTGCTTGGTGGACCGCACACCCACAATCTGAGCAGCTATTACAATTGCTCTCTGGATGATCTGTGTCATTTCTCAGCCTCTGATCCCAATCTTTCCCTTCTGCCTCTTCCAAGCTTGCTGCCTTGCCACTTCCTGCTGTGACTGTGCGTCGTGCGTCTTCAAATACTCCTGTGAACAGCTCACTTCTTGTGGATTGCCAATTTGCACAGATGACCTCTCCCACAGGGCAAAGTCAACAGTCAGGAACAAACCAGAATACAGTGATGCTGAGTGTGCAACATTTACTTCCCTCAGGAAACTTGTTATGACTAGGGAACTACAGATGCCTGCAGATGGTCCAAATGAAGACATGATCAAAAGGATTATTTACAGAGAAGAGACACCTAGAGCCTGGCAACGAGGTCTTCAGACCCTTAGGAATGAGAAGGCAAAAGGGCAAAATAGCACTCCAGGAGCCTATTGACAGCCAAAGCTGTGTTTGGGGAGGGATGTTTGTGAATGGACCTCCTGGTAAAATCTATACTAGGAGGACCACAGCTGTTGTCAGGCTCAGACACAGGGAAGAAATATTCAGACATTTCTCTAATCTCCTGCTGCTGTGCTCATTGGCCAAACTCAGTTAGAAGCCAGCAGACAAGAGACCCCAGGTGACACAGAGCATAAGGGCCAGCCCCCTGGGACATCAAAGGGCAAAGAATGTTGGATAAAAGCTCTAAAAATCCAACAGTGATGGCTGACACAACTTTGTAGACAAAATTTCTTCTTTCCTTGGACTCCTTAGAAGTTTTCTATTTTATCATCCTGCTTATCTCCTCCCTTACGTTTTCATGGACCAAAATCCCTTCAGGAGCAAATTGTAGAGAGAGTGAGGAGAGAGACTCAGAACAGTTACCCAGGGCTCCTGAACCATTACCTTCAAAAGCTTGTTTTCATGTTATTTGCATGACAGTATTATCCCCAAACCAATACAATTCCATGTTCTAATGAGGGTTATATCTTGATAATACTCTAAACACTGAAGCAATGGAATTAATCGTTAGGACAGGCATGTGGTGATCAGCCCAAGGCTACACACAGCAGGCAGATCCCTGCCTGGTGACTTCAGCCTCTGCCCTCTCAGATAAGCTGTGAAGGAATGGTAGCCGCCCGGAAAACTGTTTTGCACTAGGAACATTTTCCAGACCCACATATTGGAAATTTTTCAACACTGGCATTGACTTAGTCTCTGTGCCCCAGGAATATTCATTCTGTCCCTCTGTTTACAGCATGCATAGGGGTCTTTGACCACGAGGACACTCTTTCGGAAAACCCAAAGTCCTCACCCCCTTTTTTCTCCTTGTGCTTTTTCTCCATCTCCCCAAGCAAGGAGGACTTCGTTTCCCTCCCCAGTTTTCTCTAGAACTATATGTCCTAAAGTCATCATTTGTTTGGACTTTTGGAAAAGTGAAAAATCAAAAAAAAAAAAAAAATTAAGGATCTTGGCCACAAGCCCTTTTGGGTCACCTTGACCTTCATGTGAGCTGACTTGGATACCGGGCCTCTGCTCGCCTGGCCTCAGAGCCCGATGGGAGTGGTGAAGCCCAGGGGACCCATGCGTGGGTGGAGAAAACCCCAAGGAGCTATGGAGAGCACAGCCAACTTGCACCTTTCACCCAGCCTCCTCCAGATGACCCTTGGGTGGGACCTGCGTCTGTGCAGCTGCAGGCAAACAGGAAGTTCTGGAGAAATGCTCAGGGCTACGTCAAGGAGGTGAAGGCCCAGAAATGGCAGCGGGGAGGAGACTTTGTGCTCTGGGGGTAGCTGGTGCAAGACATGACCCAGGGCTTGGTTGTGGGGGTCACCCAAAGGTTCTGTCCTTTGAAACCAGAAAACAGCAGCAGCAGCCTGAAAAGTCTCTCACTTTCTGGCTTTGCAAGCTGAGCACTGACTTCCAGGCCTATCCTAGGAGAAGAACTCAAACCAGAAAGGGTCTTAATTCCTGATTTCTAGGAGCAATGGGTCTTGGTTCCAGGTTGATCCACCTCACCAGGTTCTATGTGAGGAAGCCAGCTATTTTAATAAAGCCTGCCTCTCCTCATGTCTGGCCCCACCAAGCCTCTCTCCGTTCTTTCCCTGACCCCTCCCATAGCACTCCAAACATGAGTTTTCTCCAGCAGCAGAACCCTGCAGCCATTCAGGAGCTCAGTGTTCCAGAAGTGGTTAGCATCATGGTACAAGAGAGTTGAGAATTAAAACCCAGGGGCCTGATTCCTGCTGGGCCAACTCCTCTTGCTCTGTGACCTCGATCGACTTATCAGTCCTGCCTCATTCTAAGCTTTGCACATCTCTTCTCCTGCCACTGAGGCCAATTTCATCTCTTTCAATGGCCCAGCTTTATGATTGCCATTACCAAGTCTGACCTCAGGCAGCAGAGAGTGAGGCAGCATGACACAGGATGAAGCAGAATGGCACTGAGGTGAACGGACCCTGAGTCTGAATCCCTACTCCCTAGCTGTGTGATCTTAGGTGAATTTTATAACTCCATGAGCTTCATCTTCCTTATCTGTAAAATGCCAGTCATAAAATCTACCTCTCAGGTGGCTTTTAAGAATCTGAAAAGCTGTAAATTATAGGCCCTGGGTATATTGCATGACTTCTGGACTGGTCTTTTAGTTATCATTGTGCCTATCTGATCCCGACTCATGACTGCTTCCCAGACCTTAGTCTCAGGATGCCACACCAGAGGAGGCAAGCCCCACACTTGAGGACAGAATTCCCTGGCAGTGCCTGCCTGCTCTGCAGAGAGCTAGCCTCAGGCTCCCATTGTGACCTGGCACTTCTACCTCTCCTGACCTTTTTGCCTAGGCCAGATCCTGAGATCAGAGAGTACCTGCATCTCCCTGGGGCTTGCTTTCCTCTCCTATAAAATTGAAGAGTTGGGGCCAGGTGTGGTGGCTCACACCTGTAATCCCAGCACTTTGGGAGAACAGGCAGGTGGATCACAAGGTTAAAGGATCGAGACCATCCTTGTCAAGTTATTGAAACCCGTCTCTATTAAAAATACAAAAATTAGCTGGATG